AGTGGGTGCAGAGCAACCCCTGCACTTTCTGCGTATTGGCTGCCAGACTAAGTGAAGAGAAGGTCAGTTGCTCAGCAGGCCCGAGCCTATCTCAAGTCTAGACTTGCCCATCTCTTCTGTGAGTACCTTGAACATTCATTGGTGTCAAGATGGCTTAACCTATTACCTGAGGATTTTGTGTGTGTGTATTTTCTTGTAACCCTATGGCCTTTCTTCCATTTTGCAGCTAGACGATGGGCCATCCACTGGCTCAGAGAAAAAAGAAGTGTTTCTCTGACTTGAATTCAAATATATAAAGCCTACAGGGAACAAGGCATTCTCAGGAGAAGTTAGTAGATTTGAGAGGATACGCAGTGACGCAGGAACAAGATTTCCCACTGCAAAGGATCATTTGATGGGTCAAGAGTAGCAAGTGTCCCTGACTATCAGAGGGGAAATAAAAAACATGAGCTGCTGGTTTGTTTTGGCTGGGAGACAACAGCAATCTCAGGGAAGTAGAGATTGCTGCCGCTAGTGGCACAGAGAGATTGAAGAGGCTTCAAGATGTCAGAATAGAAATGGCTATGGGGTATGGCTATGGAGTTTGTCTAGATGCATGGGCCTGAGGCTGCCTCACAGAGTGCCCCCAGCCCAACTTGATGTGCATCTAATGAATGATTCCTATATGCTCACGAAGAACACAGAATTGCTGAAGGCCCTTGGATAGCCCCTCAAACCCCACCCCAGGTCCAGTAACATGCAGGGGCCTCAGGAAGAACTTTGTCAGCAGGGACAGTCACTGGACCAGAAGGAGCTCTTTGGATGGGTGCAAGGCCCATCCAAGCAGCAGTCTGAGTAGTTCAATCCCTGCAGGCCAGTGGGACAACAGATCTCAGTAGATGCCAACTTGGATGCCTGTCTATTTTTCCTAGCATCTTGATCCCTCAAACTTAGGCCTGACACCACGGAAAAAGAGAGAGGGAGGTCTTTAAATTGCCTAGAATTACATTCCTGCCACTCAGATGAATCTAAATCTGATATGAATTGTAGACATTCACTATTTTCTATATTAAAGAAATGCACCTTTTTAAAACTAGAAATGGACTCATATTTCTTGCCCACTTGAGTTTGTGGAGAGAGATTCACATTCTACACACATATTGCTAGTTATTTCTTCCTGCATTCATGTCTGGTCTCCAGAGTAGACTGCAAGATATTCAAGGCTCCAGAGTAGCCCATTCCTACCCTCTTTTCCTTCTACTAAGCACTTCGTACATAACAAGACACATTTTGAGAGAAACCCTATGGAATAGGATGTGAATAGTTGTTTTGTTTACACGTGATTAACTAGAGTATCAGTTCAAGGGTTTCTCAGCTCTGCTTTCATTTATAGTTGTACAGTTTTCCCCAAGTATTCATTTTTCACACTAAGAAATAAAAATTTGTCAAGCACAACCACAGGCAAGGCCTTACTTCTACCTCTCCCGGGGGATGTAGTCCTTGTCCTCAGGAACTTCTTATTGGAGATATAGACAAGTTATAGCTGATTGCATTGAACGTGCATTGAGTTTAGGACAACACCTAGGAGGTTTTGTTGCCTGTTTTTAAATATGTGGATAATCTGAGTGCAAAAGTGATGAATGTTTAGTTGAGAACACTTGCAAAGTATAGAAGTAAACAAATTGTACCCATAAACTCAGAACCTGTAAAATTAGAGGTAATCAATGTTAACATTTTGGTGTATATCATTATATATGCCTTGTAAAAGTGTATCATGATCTATTGGAATTTGTTATTTAAATAAATCCCTGATATACTACAGTAAATGAGTGTGAGTGCGTGTGTATGTGTGTGTGATTTTTGTTTTCTTCTGAAAATGGGAAGATGTTATTAGAGTTTCACTGACCAAATGTATTCCATGACCAAATATGGTACACAGATGAAATAAACTAGAAAATGTATTGCAATTAGAAAAGGTTGAAATTCAGGTTTCTGACAGCTGGGTAGGGAGGGAAACCAAATAAAATATATACTTGAATCTGATCCATGACATAGCCATGAAAATAGTTCTGTTGATTAACTCAAATGTCACATTCTCACCGACGATCTCCTATAGTCCCTCAGGCAGAATTAGCCAGCTAGTCCTTCAGTGCTCCCAAATATTTATACTATCTATCTACAATAATATATTCATTATTTTAATAAAATAATATATACTATTATTTCTATGTAATATTTAAGGGAAGAAGAGTAGTGTTATGATTAAGAACATAGATTTTGGATTTAAACAGCTGAAGTCTAATTCCAGCCCTACCAGCTAGCTATGTGACCTTGGACAATTTATTTAGCCTTTCTGAACCCATTTCCTCATCTGTGAAACAGTAATAACAACACCTACTTTATAGAGTTGCTGTGAGAGCAAAGTAGGACAGTATTTGTAAAGTGCTGACCCACCCCAAGACACAAAGTCAATAAATAATAAGTGTAATTATGATTATTACAGAACTTGCCATATTGCATTTCAATGACTTGTTTAGGAATGACTCCCTCTTTGGACTATGAACACCTAGACAGCAGGCCCTGGATCCTGGCCTCCATCTTTCCTAGCAGAGTAGCTCATAAACAGTAAGCAATCACAGGTGTTTGCTGGAAGATACAATAGCTATGGAAAGTGCCAGACCAAATGCTTCCCCTACCCCCAGAGTCTTGTATAATGACTGAGCTATCTAGAACAAATTCTAACAGCAAAATATTAACTCTTACAATCAACATTATAGAAGGTCATTTCTACTTTTAACGCAAACTAATATTTACTGAGCACTTAATATGTGCCAAGTTTTGTTCCAGGTCTTTACATTTTATTTAAACTACTTTATGAAGTGGATATTGTATCTTCTTTAACAGATTGGGAAACTGAGGCCCAGGGAGGGTGCTGTGAACTCTGTGATTCCTGAGATTTTGTTAAGGTCCCCAGAGAGTAGAGTCCTGGCTCTTTGTTCTTTCCTTTAACCACTGAGACAGGAGGTGAGGTAGAAAAGTGACCATATATATTTTTTTTCTTTAGCGAAACATTTTATTTTGCAGAGCAACTCTCTTTTCTTCTCTGGAAAAGCAAACAAAAGAAATTACTGCTTCATTCATAATTTTACCCCTGCTGAGAGTTCCAAATGAGGTCCCTGGAAGGATTTCTCTCACGCAGAGCCCTGTTCAAGGATGCAAATGAAGGTTACTGAACTCCACTGAGAGTCAGAACCATCCCAAGCAGTGACTATTTTTATTGAGAGGGTTTTGAAATAGAGTTTTAATACAACTTTGAAAATACATAATTCAAATCTTGTCTGTGTGCATGAAACAATGAAATCACCTGTGAAACCATAACATTATCAATAAGCTAAATAAAATTGAGAGTAGAGGACATTAAGAATTTAAAAACGAACTTGCTCTCAAAGAGAATAGTTTTATCCCATATGATCCGTACTCTATGTTCATGACATTTATCAGTTAGTGTCCATGTTGCCTACGTGAGTGAAATACACGTTTTAAAAATAAGAAAAGTCTCGGAATGACTTTACTTCAAGTAAGCTGATTGGAATCCTTCCAGATTCCACATTTGTTCCTATTGACCAGAAGTCTTCTGCCTTGGGAAAACATTTTTATTTCCCTCCGCCGTTCTAGATGTCCTACAAAGACCTGTATTAGGATGGGAAACGTTTTCTGAATCCCAAAGGAGTCCCCCCATTTGCCTGAAAGAGACAGCTAACCCATGTGTTGAGAGAGGTCATTCAAGAAGATAATGTCTCAGAATAATTTTTTCAAACATTCTATGCATACTGTCTTCTTTCAGAGTGACAGTTGCCATATGATAGATAAAATGTGGTTCTAAAGAGCATCATATCATTTTTCTTCTTCATACATCATAAAAGATGCCAAAAAAGTCCCCTTTAAGAGAACAACTGCCTGGTACCTAGCCTATTTATTCTTTAAAATGTTTTCTTAACGTTTACTTCCAGAATTAGACACAGAAACAGCAGAGGCCACTACACTGACTTGAGATCAATTGCTACTCTTCTCTGGGGAAGTAAATTAATTAAAAGAAAGGGGTGAAAGGCTAGGTCCTTGATATATGAATTCTGCCTGATTTTCACTAACATTCCCATAACAATAATAACTTAAAACACATTAAGTAGAAAAACTACTTCCATCTAGTGAAAGTATCTTGATGTACTAGTAAGAATTCATATGTGAACTATATGATGAATTTTTAAGCCAATTAATCATAAAGGTAGTTGGTGCTTGCTCAGGAGTGCTTTCTGTAGTAAAACAGGCAACCCTTCCCTGAAAAAACACTTTGAAAAATACTAACATCGTGGAACTTTGTTCTGGAATTGAGAACGGGATTGCTTTGGCTGCTACTTTTGGAGGGAGATGATATCTGAATGGATGAAATGAGAAGTGGAGTGCACTAACAATGGCAGGTAATGCCTTCATTACACGCAAATAATAGGCAGTCATTAGATGTCTGATGAATTGTTTAGAGCCATTAGGGATACTCCAGAAGTAATAAGAATCATTTAATTCCCTTAGGTGTGAGTTTATCACTTCTTTCCTTCATTCATTCCATAAGTATTTATTGATGCTTACCATGTGCCAGGGTCCATCCCTAGGACCTGAGAATACACCATGAACATCACGGACACTGGATTTTATGGAGCTGACAGGTTAAAAGGTAGAGAGAAACAGGTCAGGCGTGGTGGCTCATGCCTGTAATCCCAGCAGTTTGGGAGGCCGAGGCGGGTGGATCACTTGAGATCAGGAGTTTGAGACCAGCCTGGCCTATGTGGTGAAACCCTGTCTCCACCAAAAGTATAAAAAATTAGCTGGGCATGGTGGTGGGTGCCTGTAATCCCAGATACTCAGAAAGCTGAGGCAGGAGAATTGCTTGAACCCAAGGGACAGAGGCTGCAGTAAGCCGAGGTGGTGCCACTGCACTCCACCCCGGACAACAGAATGAGGCTCCGTCTCAAAAAAAAAAAAAAAAAGAAAAAGAAAGATAGAGAGAAACAAAACAAAACAAAAAGCACAATCATAAGCTAGTCAATAACCACAGGTAGTACAGGTAGTACAAATCTTCCTGGCTCTGGTCCTGTCTGCACTGGGATTAGGACATGCACAATGTGAGAAGCAACAAAGAAGGCTTCTCTTGGGAGCTCCGCCCACCCCGTTCCCTGTCTTATGGGACTGACTGGCCCAACCTTCAACGTCTGAAGCACTCAATTAAAAAATGAGATTTAGAATAGGACCACTGCACTGGGGGGGTGGGGGAACCTGTCAGGATAATAAACACATTTTTTATGCTTCTGTTGAAAAACACTCATTTAGGTGTATTAGGCTTTAGTTATACTTGGCTATACCTGCTATCAGAATAATCAGGCAACTTAAGTGAATTGGTTTCCTTGAGAACAATGGATTTATGATTGGTTCTGTAGAACAGTGATGATCATACAGTTCTCCTGACTTTCCTCTCCCCTTCTCCCCACCCTTTATCACCACTCTCCTCCTTTGTTTTGCCTTATATAGTTTAGTGAAAAAACAAAGTCTGGAGTCTATATTTTCAATAAGCTTAGCCAATCTTATTCTCAGAAATTCTACTTCATTTGTGGTTCTGTTAAAAGGGTGCTGTGTTCCTCTAATCTTCTATGTTAAAGTGTAATAATTTGCTTTTGATATATAAGGTTTCTCTACCATGCAGAAGGAGGAAACTTAAGTTTGGCTTCATCTATTCCCTGTGGTCCTGGTTAGGCATGCCCTTTGGGTGTTATATATGTATGTTGAGGGAAGTCCCTGACCAAGGGATTGCTTGAAACACTCTGAAGAGATTTACAATTAATTTTAACATTGTACCACATATTGGAGGACATAGGACATACCTTTTTTTTTTTTGAAAGTGGATCTCACTCTTTCATCCAGGCTGGAGTGCAGTGGCACCATCTCAGCTCACTGCAACCTCCACTACCCCAAGATGATTAAAATCAGATGCCTAAAATCTGACTTTAGGCATTAGATTTTAAATGTCTGTGCTGTTGAACTGGAATTCACACTTAGGATTCAGATGTTTGGATGTTATTGCACAGCCTGTGTTGAACATATTTTGCAAGTGGATCCATTGTTGCATGTGTGAACCATTGTTACTGCTCCTATTAACCAGTGTGACCAGATTCTGAAGAACATGGGTATGGGATGGAGCCAATTTGGCAGCACTTGGGGATGGATTACTCCTTGTTACTCTCCTGGGCAGGATCATGCAGTCGATGATAGCAGAGAAGCCAGGTAGCTGTAGGAGAGCAATGCCAGGTGGTCCAGTTCCATGCCAGGCAGGTGGAAGAAATGCTATTGGAGCACACTGGGGTACAACTCCAGGCCACACAGCGTAGGTGTGGCAGGCCAGGGAACACCAAGAGCAACAGACTTCTCCATTAGAAGGGAGGTGGCTCTTGTGAAAGAAATGTGTCTGTTTGTCTGTAAATTAATAATCAGGACAGAATGTCAGGTGTCATAATCAAAAGCTGTGTCTCAAATTAAACAAAGGCCTTCACACAATGTAGAAAGAAGACCTTTGATACACACTAAAACGCATCGTTAACATGGGCCCTAGAATAAAATACCTCTGCCAGCACAGTGGCTCATGCCTGTAATCCCAGCACTTTGGGAGGCCGAGGCAGGTGGATCACCTGAGGTCAGGATTTCGAGACCAGCCTGGCCAATACGGTGAAACCCCATCTCTACTAAAAGTACAAAAAAATTAGCCAGGCATGGTGGCAGGCGCCTGAAATGCTATCTACTCGGGAGGCTGAGGCAGGAGAATCGCTTGAACCTGGGAAGCAGAGGTTGCAGTGAGCCGAGATGGCATCACTGCACTCCAGACTCGGGTGAGAGAGTGAGACTCTATCTCAAAACAAAACAAAACACAACAAAACAAAAGAATAAAATGTCTATACGCTCTGAAGAGATCTAAAATTAATTTTAACATTGCACCAAATATTGGAGGACATAGGACGTATTCACCTTTTTTAAAATTTTTTTTGAGACAGGGTGTCACTTGTTTGCCCAGGCTGGGGTGCAGTGGCATGATCTCAGCTCACTGCAACCTCTGCTACCCCGGCTCAAGTTATCCTTCCACCTCAGCCCCGCAAGTAGCTAAGACCAAAGATGCTCACCATCATGCCTGGCTAATGTTTGTATATTTTGTAGAGATGGGGTTTCATCATGTTCCCCAGGCTGGTCTCGAGCTCCTAAGCTCAAGTGATCTGCTCACCTCAGCCTCCCAAAGTGCTGGGATTACACCATGCCTGGCCATATTCACCTTTTAACTGCATATTCCTCTCATTTCTTTTTTTTTTAAATTCCAGGGTTCTGTGATATAGTAGTTATCTAATGCTTGTCTGGATGGTTCTGTCTCAGGGTCACTCATGAGCCTGCATTTGAGCCCTGAACTGGGGATGCAGTCATTTGAACATCTGTCTGAACGCTTCTGAGATGGCTCACTTAAAACGGCTGCTGGCAGGAGGCCTCAATTTGTACCACATGAATGTCTCCAAGGGTTGCCTTAGTGTCCTCACAACATGACATCTGGTTTTTCCCAGAACAAGTGATCTAAAGAGCCAAAAGCCACCATGTGTTTTATCACTAATCATGAAGACACACACACACACCACCACTTCTGTCATATTTTAGAAGTGAATCATTAGGCTAGCCCACACTTAAGTGGTGGGTGGGAATTAGGTTCTATCTTTTGGAGGCAGAACTGTTGAAGAATTTGCGGACACATTTTAAAATCTCCACATATCGTGTTCATCTAGAACGTCAGGAAATGTGGTGTAGTCAAGACTGGGTACAAGAATTATGATACCCAGAGCAAAATGAAAATGCAGGACCCCTCTTTAAGAGTTTCCAGACAGTGATAACAGAGCATTAATCCAAGTGTGGGTCCTCCGAGGCATTGGGCCCTGTGCTATGGCCCAGGTCCCACCCCATGAAGCCAGCTCTAGCTATAGTGGTTAAGCGCATGAGCTTTGAAATTACGAGTTTGAGTCCCAGCATACAAATTTGAGTCCCACTGCATACAGATTATATAACTCTTGGGGAATCCGGCTGAAATTCAACTTCCATTTCTCTAAAAGGGGTATGATTAATTTACCTATCACTTCGGATTCTTGTGAGCATTAAAGCAAGTCAGTATTGGCCTGGCTTATTATTGTAGGCATTTGATAACATGTCGATATTATAATGATTACCTTTAAGGAGCTTTAGTGGTAGACAAGAAAAAAGGACTGAACTGATAACTAGGATTGGTGATTTAGTGGATTATCATAAACTCCTTAAAGTGGGAATAGCACCTTACGCTTTCTGCAGTACCAACATTTCTTTGACTTAGCATGGAGTCCTGCATTCAGGAGTTTGAAAAACATGGCCTGTAAGCTACAACAAGAATGGCTAAGAAGATGTATTTCAGAAATGGCACGTTTTCAGCATTCTAAAAGGTAGGACCAAATACGGATTTTAAGAAAATCTACATAAGAAGATCAGTATTTCATTGGTTGTTGTAATACTAGGCATTTATCAGCACATTAGAAATGGTTGCCATGAACTACTTTCTATTAATAACTCAGTTGAGACTGAATATTAAATGGGAAATTTCTCATAGCAGTATTCTCTTTGGTTGGTTCAAACAACAAAAACAAAAACTATTCCTGGATAAGGCCTTCATACTGGCAAAATGACTTCATGAAACACTTTATAGCTTCAGACAGGCCTCTGCTTCCTTTCTTACGCAGCTGAGCATGACTCAGTAAAAGCCAGCAACAATCCTCTGGCGTTTATACAAACTCCTCAGCCACAGCTCAGGTGTGCCAGGGCGGGCGCTCTAGCAATCCCACTTTGAAGATTCTATTTCAAACCAGATAACTGGCCTTTTAAAAGTTGACTGTTTTCATAAGGACTTTCTTCTACTAAGCTCTTAACCAAAGCATATTGCTGGGCCAAGACATCTTTACTCATCTGAAAAAATCCCACGCACCAGCCCATGAAGTAGAGTCCATGGAATCCAGGAAGTGTAGCACTGGGCTTTGAATTACTACTGACCTGCTGGGAGAGTTAATGTAGGTTCCAGAGGTGCCGCACCTGCCTCTTCTGAAAAGATGATATCATCAAAGACTTGAGTAAGGAAAGTAGGCAGAGGTGCGGGTTATTTATCTGGATGAGCAGACAAACAGGAAACAATAAGAAATATAGCAAGAGTTGGGTTCTTTTCACAAACACATTAACATCAAAAAAATAAACGAGCCAACTATAAGTGTGATTAGAGGTTTTTTTTCTTAACTCTAGGCGGCGTTGTGTTCTTAGCAATAGTCTTTTTCTCAAAGAACTTTATTTATTCCCCAATCCAAAATTAGTTCCTTAATTTGAAACAGCCATAAACAAACATTACTAAAGAAATCCCTTGGGCTCTTTTCTCCCACACCCTATCCCCCCACACATGTTTTCTGCTGCTTTGTTTGTTCTCAGTTCTTTTTCCCTTTGTGCCGAACAGAAGGGCCTGCAGTGATTTGGCTTTCTGAAATCCCTTCATAAGTTTCTTGAAAGATATTTAAATTCCATTTTGACAGGAGAGAATTAAATTCACATTAATTTTCATCAATAATGAATTCAATCTAAACAAACTTCAGTAACATCAAAGTATGGATTTTAGTTCTCTACTGGTTAAAAAGGTTGCTCGCAGCTCTCTAATTCTTTTATTGGCCTACTGTAGCCTACTGCTGTTCCGGGAGGATGAATGGAGCCTCTAAATCAGAGCAGCTGTCCCAGCAACCTTGGAGAGAGATTCCCTCGCACCTCTTCCTCCACTACTTCTCTCTTCATTTTCTTCGTTTCCAATCTTTGCCAACCCCCTTTTTCCTCCGTACCTTTGTTTCATCTCCATTTCCCACTCCATATCAATGAAGAATTCCAGAGCGATCTGGCTTTCCTCTTCAAACCCAGCCCAACATTATCTTCAAAAAAGGGAATGTGCTGGTGATGTCCCTGGTTGCTCTGGCCTTTCCCCTGCTCTGCTGTCTATCACAGGGGACTGCATTTTGCAGTTCCCTTGCCCTCTGGCTTCCACATAGGCTGAACGGAAGGAAGGCATAAACAGAAGAGTGGAGGGTGGGAAGACGGAGGAAGCCAGGGAATTTCACCTCCTCTCTGTCTGTTTTGATGCTGTCTCTGGCAGTGGCTGCTTCTCTATGATTTTAGCTGCTGGCCAACAGCCCCTCCCTTCAGTCTCAGTATCTGTCAGGAATGCTCCCCACTGTGCTTCTGACTTCTCCTATCTTCCAGGCTTTGGTAACACCATCTTCTCCCTGAGTTTCTCCAGCCCCAGGGGAGTTAGTGGCTTCTGACTGCTGTTATTCTTTCTATTACCCCACTGCTTAATTCCTGGGTTCTGCTTCTTCCATCACAGGTATGACAATTTCCTGGCCAGGCATGGTGGTTCATGCCTGTAACCCCAGCAAACTGGGAAGCCAAGGCAGGAGGATTGCTCAAGCCCAAGAGTTTGAGACCAACCTACTCAACAAAGTGAGACCTATCTCTAAAAAAATATAAAATATTATCCAGGTGCAGTGGCACACATCTGTAGTCCTAGCTACTTGGGAGGCTGAGATGGAAGGATTGCTTGGGCCAAGGAGGTTGAGGATGCAGTGGGCTGTGATTGTGCCATTGCACTCCAGCCTAGGCAACACAGCGAGACCCTGTTTCAAAACCAAACCAAATCAAACAAACCAAAAACGCCAAAAAACAAGTTCCTGTATTAAATTCCTCGTGTTTGAGACACCTACAGTGGTTTCTGTTTTAATTGGGCCCTGACCAAAATAGGGGATTCAAGATTACAACATCTCAGATAACAGTTCTCTAGAGCAGAATGTTGGACAGCATTACTTTATTCTATGTTCCTTGGAGTTCTTATACACATGATAAGCCACAAAAACAAACAGCTATTAAAATTCAATGCCCAAGGTAAGTTTGGGGTGAGGTAAGGTGAGAAAGACTAAGGAAGCAGATGGAGCATCGTTTCCTCTGTGCACCTGGGGCATCTGTGGTTTTCACTCTCCCAGACATGGAACAGAGGATTTTCTGACTTTGCCTTGCTGATATGGGCTTTACAGCAAGATGTTTCATGAGATTTGCAAGTCACTTTCCCTTTCATTCCCATCTGAGTGGGCACATCCTGTCTGCTTCGCACTACTGCCTCTGTACTCCAGTAATGTGTTTTTCATCATCACATGTCCAATAATTTTGAATCTCACCTGATAGCAGCATCCCCTGGCTTATAAGTGTGGGAAATATTTGCTATGGAGGAGTGATTTGTAGCACTTTGTGAGTCAAAGGCCTTTTGGGAGAATCTAAGGGATGGTCAAAATCCTTTCCGCAGAGAAAAATGCACACATACCATGATTGTGAGTGAGCCTGTGTACATGTATGTGTGTTCATGAGGTGCATACACACGCAACGACACACACTTTCCCATAAAGCTTGTCAATCCCAGATTCAGAACCCTACCCCTACCATGTATGGTCCTTGGCCATATATTCTTCTATCCACATTCAGGATGCCCTAGGTAGTGCCTATTATGTAACTATAGTTTTATAAATAACTTAATTTCTTCCAGTTTACCTCCTTTTAAGTGATGAATTAAACTTCAAAACATGGAGTCTGTCAGACACTATTTTTGTGTCAGATACTTTGGACTCACCCTAAGGAAGATAGTTCCATGTTTTACTTGTGTAAAAAGATGTCTCTATAGTGACATTAAAGGATTCTGTATGTGAAACTGTAATTTCCTCCTGCTGTTTTAAGATATTCCTCTTTCTTATTGGCACCACATGAGATAAAGTTCGGTGACTGGGGCAGAGATTTATGAAGTGTTATTGTTGAATATATGTGTATGTTGCTTTCCTGTGGTGAAAGACCCGTAACCCAAGACTTCCATTTTGGGATTGATTTGGGGCCTAGTGTAACACGTACGCTGTAATAAGTCACGGCAGATGCTGTCGATTTACTTCCTGCTGTCCCATGTGGGTTCCAGGGTGGATAATTTTGCTCATTCTTTTGGCCTTTGCTGTGGCTTGTCAAAAACTAGACTCATGTTCATAACTCTGAGAAGTGCTCAGCTGTGAAATAAGTACTGAAAAGATGAAAAGCAATTGATCCTGAGTCATTGTGATCATTCAATCCTATGTAAGCAAGAAATAAGTATTTAAAGTGTCCCAATAAATCTTCTCTTTGAGCTTAAGCATTTAGAAATGTAGAATACTTATAGATTGACTTGTGAAGGAAGATTAGGAAAAACATATGTATTGGCTCTGAAATAGAGATAGAAGTTATTATGAAACATTAGTGATAAGTTGAGTGGGGTCAGCCTAGTGCATCTGTTTCTGCAGAAGTGGGAATTCTTTAGCATCAAGGTATGAGAGTGTATAGCAGAAGTACAGGAGATATCAATTCAATCACTGTCTAGAAATAAAATATCTGCTTTATTTAAACATCATAGCGATTTGCTATATTTTTGCTTTTTGCAACTATTACACAAAAATTATTGGGGTTTGCTATAAGAAGATGGGGTAATCTTTCAAAGTGCGTGATAACAGCTATGAAGGAGCCATGAAAGAAGATACTGGAAACACTTGGTATTCATTCATTCGTGCACGCATGCATACAGGCATGCATACAAGCATTACTGAGTTCCCACTATATTCCAGGACTTATGTTAAACACAGCATTGGAAAATAAATAGACATGATTCTGCCCTTAAGTTTGTCTCAGTGTAGTGAAAGAGACTGATAATTGAATAGGCAGTTTGATCATGGTGTTATATACTCCATGATAGAGGCAACAGAATTTTATTGGAGCACTGAATAAGTGCTCTTTTCTTGTTTAGGGGATCAGGAGACCTTTTCAGAGGAGGTAACGTTTTCCGTCTCAACTAAAAATACACACACACACACACAAATTAGCTGGGCATGGCGGTACACTCCTGTAATCCCGGTTACTCAGGAGGCTGAGACAGGAGAATCGCATGAACCCCAGAGGCAGAGGTTGCAGTGAGCCGAGATCATGCCACTGCATTCCAGCCTGGGTGACAGAGCGAGACTCCGTCTCAAAAGAAAAAGAAAAAGAAAAAGAAGGCAGTAGGATGCCACGTGTCAGAGGAGTCAAATGCTACGAGGACCCAAAACTCCCTTTAAGATGTGGCAACTGGTGGGGCACGGTGGCTCACACCTGTAATCCCAGCAGTTTGGGAGGCTGAGGTGGGAGGATCACTTGAGCCCAGGAGTTTGAGACCAGGCTGGGCATAGGGAGACCCCCCCTCCCTAAAAAAATAAAATTAGCCACCAGGTATGGTGGCATGCGCCTGTGGTCCCAGCTACTTGGGAAGCTGAGGCGGGAGGATAACTTGATTCTGGGGTTGCACCACTGCCCTCCATCCTTGGTGACAGAGTGAGACCTCATCAAGAAAAAAAGAAAAAAGAAAAAGATGTGGCAGTTGACAGGGCACTGCAGACCTTGGCAAGATCAGTTTTAATGTACTCATAAGAGCAAAGGACTGGAGTGTGAAAGGGAAGTGAGAAAGTAGACAGAAACCCTATACTAAACTTTAAAAAACTTGACTGGTGGGTAGAGAGCTGTTAAGATCCAGGCTTCTTTTTCAATAAACATACAAATTTCACTTTGTCACCTCTAAATTCTGATCAGATAGAGCCCCCTTCTCTCAGAAGATCACAGCTTAAATTTCTGGATACTTCCACCTACCAAACTGATTTCTTAAAACTCTGCTTATTTATATTATAAAAGCAATCTTTTTTTCAAAAATATACTTATCATATAGTATATTATAAAACATCATCCAATACTTGAGACTTTGATATGCCCTCCACACACTAAGGTTACTAATGAAGATAGAGTTCACCTGGACATCTCAGTGATAGGGGTAGGAGGGGGTATAATCTTTAAGTTCCAGAATTTATTTCAAAAGCAAAAAGTTATGGATAAACTATTGAACAGAAACCAGGTAGAACTATGTTGGTTGCAATAGCAACTAGGTTAGGAAACAGCTAGTTTGGAGTTTGAAGATTTCATATGTATTAGTTTGGGCTGCTATAATGAAAATACCATAGGTGGGATGACTTAGACAATGTTTATTTCTCATGGTTTTG